TATATATATATATATATATCTGTACATGTGTGCTCTCCTGTGTGGGCGGCACACATCTGTTGGCACACCGATACATGGGGACGGTGGGCGAGGTGTGGCAGTGTGTGTAATCGCTTTCATCACGCTAGGTTGTCTGCTGCTGCGGGAGCAAGGAATGCGCCGCGAATGTAGGCGCATGTCTGTCCGCGCTCTCAGCATCTCTCCGCAAGGTTTCACCGCGCGGAGCACGTGGCGCCGATTGATAGCGTGCCGCTGATGTGGCCGGCTTCTTCCTCCTTCTTTTCCTACTTCTCCGTTTTTTCATTCTCCTGCTTCTCATCCTCTTCATCTTCCTCATCCCCATTCTCCTTCTTATTCTCCTACTCGTTGTCTTTCTTCTCCGTCTCCTTCTCCTCATCATATTCTTCCTCATCTTCCTCATCTTCCTCATCCTCATCCTCGTCCTCCTCCCTCTCTTCCCTTCTCACCTCTTCCTTGCCCTCCTCATCTTCGTTCTCGTCGTCCTCATCCTCCTCCTGCTGCTGCTGCTTCTACGTTCGTGTGACTTCTGTGTGGATGTTTCGCGAGGCCGTTGAACTATGATAACACCGCCGGCAGACAGTTCGCGGTCTATTTACATATCGTGAATGTTTGCGGGTGATGGTGGTGAGTGTGGGGGGGGGGAGAATAATTAGGTGCAAGAGTTGAAGTAGTAGGGGCAGCAGAACAGACCTCTCGATGCTAGTTAGCCATGTTGCTAGCAACAGCCGTGCGTGTGTGCGTGCATGCATGCATGCGTGCGTGCGTGCGTGTGCGTGTGTGTGCGTGTGTGTGCCTGGGCCTTCGTGTGCGTCTGTGCGTGTGAGAGAGAAGAGGATTCTATTTCTGCGTGCTATGCATAGACCGGATTCAAAGTCCTCGTGCATGACGTCTGCAACTATTCTTTCAAGGATCTAAAGATCTAACAACTTACAAGGGACTACGAGCAGTACGAACACTTGCAATTATATCATATCCTTTCCTCAAAAGCTTTTTTTTCTTTCAACTTACCATGCTTACATGTGTTATTTTTCGTCGCACTGCGTAATTGGCCTGTCCGAGGTAATTGTTTGGTAGCTCTGGCCAACCAGCAATCAGATGGGACTGTACGTCCCTCAAAGTCGACAATTCGGTGCGAACACGTGTAGAATCATCACTCGTAAACTGGTCTAGCCTGACCGACCGAGCAACAACATCCAAGTGCGTGCAGTTAATTTGCTCAGACGTATAGGTCAGATAGACAGGATAGTCAATTCTTTTCCTTTCATGGATTTTTTTTGTCGGCATACCGTCCAATTCCATTACTGATAACAAGTGCAAAACACAGAATCTAGTTGTCCACACACATCGGGTTGTCCTGGAAGGTCTGCCTGCATAAATGAATCGGTGGGTGGGACATCCGGATTTATCCAGGCTGGAAGTTTAATGCGTAGCTCGAATCCACTTGTGAGGATAGGGTTGCAAAAATGAGTCTAATATGAATCTCTCTCTTCTTTTGTTTGTGAACGGATTAGTATTACGCTGCAAGTGTGAGGTATGTGAGGATCGAAACCCTCGATCTCTGAATATAAAATGTGATATTGAGTATGAATCCGTGTTAAAATGTGTGGTGACTGGTTTACTGAGACTGAGATAAACATTTTATGTTATACCGTTTATCTAGTTATTCACCATCGTTTTCTTCGTTTGTATTTCACGCCTGTCAGACAACGTTTGAATTCCGTTTCTTACATGCGGCTTTTTCTATACACTGTGAGATTCCATTCTGTGTTTTTTCCTTTACAGATCCGTCTGTGAATACTTGAGTTAACCAAGAGCATTCGAGTGAACGTGATCAGAAGCAGCACCAGCAGCAGCACCACTACCACAAGCAGCAGCTCCACCAACATCACCAGCAGCAGCATCAACAGTAGCAGCAGCAGCACCACTACCCCAAGCAGCAGCACCACCAGTAGCACCACCACCACCACCACCACCACCACCACCACCACCAGCAGCAGCGATGGGCGGTGGCAGGGAGGTGGACACCTACTCCAACTGCTCGTCGGCGCTCTCCGTCAATTCGGAGAGCAAGAAGCGCGGCCTATCGCGCTTCTCGCTGCGCCAGATCTTGCGGCGGCCGTCCGACCGCAAGTCTCGGCGCGCGGCGGCGGCGGCGCGGGGAGCCAACCCGAGCGGCGCCGGCACGCCGTCGTCGCCCTCGACCCGCAACTCGACGCCGCGCCTTCCCGGCGGCGCCCCCTCGCGGCGCGCGGACGAGACTCCCGCCGGCGAACCGGTCGTCGTCGCCGCAGCCGCGGTTGCCGTCGGCGACGGCGGCGAGGACTCGACGCTCGAGTGCCCGCTGTGCCTGAGCGAGCAGCGGCGCGGCGACTTTGCGGCGCTGTCGACGTGCGACCACCGCGCGTGCGCCGCCTGCCTGCGCCGCTACCTGACGATCGAGATCACGGAGTCGCGCGTGAACGTCGCGTGCCCGTCCTGCGCCGAGCGCCTGCACCCGACCGACATCCGGCGCGCGCTCGCCGACGACGCGATCATGTGCAAGTACGAGGAGTTTGCGCTGCGCCGCTACCTCGCGACGGAACCCGACGCGCGCTGGTGCCCGGCGCCCGACTGCGGGTAGGTGGTGCCACCGTCCGCGGTGCCGGTTTGTCCGCGGGTGGGTCGGGGGAGGAAGGAGGGAGGGAGTTCCCGATATTTACGCCAAGAACAACGTTTGTAGCAGTAGCTGTATTGTATGCACAGTTGCCATTAATGTGTAGCAGTAGCCATTAATGTGTAGCAGTAGCCAGTAGTGTGTAGCAGTAGCCAGTGTGTAGCAGTAGCTGGTAGTGTGTAGCAGTAGCTGGTAGTGTGTAGCAGTAGCTGGTAGTGTGTAGCAGTAGTTGGTAGTGTATAGCAGTCGTTGGCAGTGTGTAGCAGTAGCTGGTAGTGTGTAGCAGTAGCTGGTAGTGTGTAGCAGTAGTTGGTAGTGTGTAGCAGTAGTTGGCAGTGTGTAGCAGTAGTTGGTAGTGTGTAGCAGTAGCCATTAATATGTAGCAGTAGCCAGTGTGTAGCAGTAGTTGGTAGTGTGTAGCAGTAGCTGGTAGTGTGTAGCAGTAGCCAATAATGTGTAGCAGTTTGTTGGCGGTCTGTCGTTTCAACTCGACGTGGCGGCGCGTTGACTGATCGAAAATGCAATTGGCTCGTCTCTGCAGAACGACTGTTGATCACGTCGAAATACCCGTCCTTCACGAAGGTCAATCACGTAAATTGTTCCTGGCTGGGCCGATTAGTATTTCTCGAAATGTTTCGCGCACCGAAATTCCGCACGGCGCTGCACGGTGGAGCGAGCGCACGATTGTTCCGCGGCCGCTGTGGCTGCTGTCGACGCTTGATGGCTAGATTGTTGGCTAGATGTTTCGGCAACCTTAGCGTCATGGTTCGACCTTGCGACGTCGTTCCGCAGATCGGTGCGGGCTTTCGTGGATCTTGCTGATTTCAGTTTGCATCCCCGATAACCCCCAGGTCTCTCGTCATGACAGACTTAACGTGACAATGACAGACGCCCCAGCTGGTGGCAACATGGCTGTCACTGTAGATCTTTGGGGTTGCAAGTGAGACCTTACCTAGTAGATTTTGGCGAAAAATCAAGTAATAGCCTAAACATGTAATTGAGATGTAATCTAAAATAAGTGTGGTTCGTTGTCTAGTAGTCTGGCTTACCCCCACACACACACACAAACCCACACACCCACCCACCGTTGCTATACTGCAATTTCCAGGCTGACTGAAAGCTGAGCCCCCCCCCCTCCTCGTCTTGACTCGGTTGAGTCACGCAATTTTTGTGTTCCCTCAGGAGTTCGTTCGGGCTACCACTCTACTATGGTTCACCAGTTTTGAACCGCAGAAAATCGTATATGGGTGCACGACTTCATAACAGCGTATTTCGACATTGTTTTTTTGTGTGCGTTCTTATACGTCTACGTTGCGGTGTGAGTGGCAGATTCGTTTAACAACTTCTGAATTTCCGTCTGGCGTTTTGGATGATTGGTTGTTTTGAGAGTGTCTACGTACGTACTACTAGTATTCGATGTTTTGCAAAGCGACTACATTCGCAAAACTCAGTAGGAGATGAGAAGGGCGTGCATGTTTGCCTGCAATTTGTTCGAATTCTTATTTTTGCCGGGATCTGCGAAAACAGCGTTTTTGCGACGCGGGGATGAAGAGCGTCTGTTTATTAACGGCAGCCTGAGCAGCATCTCAGCCTGGATGAAGTGTATAACAGCCGTTTGAAAAGTCCATCACAGAGCGAACGTGTTTGTGTTTCCTAGAGCCGGGTTTACTGGAATCGTGATGTGTTTGAACAGTGGTATCTCGAGGGTGGCGTGCAGAAAACGCGTGTACTTTTTCCGGTAGATAATAATAAGTGCAGCGGGCAATGAACGTGTGAGCAGGGCAGGGAGCGCTGTACTGGGGCCAAGTTTACACTGTTCGCTCCCCCGTTATAGTTATTTATATTATTTAGATTATTTAGATTTTAAATTTTTGTTTTAGTTACTAGATTCTATATCATTGAGAGTACTTAGACTGGTGGGGTATGAGTGGAAAATTTCTGCACTGTATATCACTATATGCATATAAACAGTTTACTCACTTACGAATTGCAAAGGTGAAGCAATATATATACTAGTTTTCAGCTGCACATCACAACGATCTTCAATTACACAAACATAATATTATGCGGATATTTCCGTTTGAGCAGCTCTCGTAGATACACGTGTACGTAATGCTTAGTTATGCGCACGTATAAATAAATACATAGATAGATTGCACTCTATTTGTAGGATGCGCGTATAATTCTGCACGACAGCTGCTGTGCATGCGTAAGTGCGTGCTCACGGTGCCATGTCGTCATGGCGACCATCATGGCGTCATGGCTGTGCATCACAGTGCCTGGTCATGCGTGCATCATGGTGACGACTGGTGTAAGTTTCATGTGTACTGTGTATATATTCGTTGGCTAATGTACCTTTGTTTCATGTTTACCTTTGTTTTGTTTGATTTATATTGTATGTATGTGTGTCCTAGCTGATTTATGTTTAATATATACATACACATACATATGTATATATATATATATATATATACACATATAGATATATATTAGTGTGTGTACGTACGTTCCATGTGCGTGTCCTGGCTGTACATGGACGAGGAGCGGACCCGGTGTGAGCGCTGTGCGCGCGCCGCGTCGCACGTCTGGTTCGGATGCCACTCGGCCTTGCAGTGGTAGCAGAAGTCCGTCTGGCAGCCGACGCGGCCGCAGCTGATCTTCGGGCAGCTAGCGCATCCCGTCGCTATCACCGCGTACCTGCAACATGTCCCATCAATCAGCTTCCATCGACTCTATACGCTGTATATTTTGCGGTGGTTTCATTTTCGCGAATTTCGCGAACGCGTCCCCGACCGCGAAAATAACAACACGCAAATAGTTCATACCAAATAATACCGACTATAATTAATAATTCACCGACCGCGAAATTGTCTGTCAAGTCTGAATTCGCGAAAATATATGTACGCGAAAAAACATGGCGTATACAGGGCTACACTACTATATGTACGTAGTAGTCGTGGAACATGCGTGCACACTCTACGCACTGTATACACACGTACATACATAGATTTCATGCTGTTTAGTGTCAAGGCATGTACTGGGAGCACTATCAGAATATTTGCTTGTGAGCAATTAGTCACATGGGAATCGGATGTGCAAGGAGGACACAGTCACGAAATATTACTGTCACACGTGATGCCCACGTGTGCGTTATGAATACACGTTTATTAGGCATTGCCCCGTCACGAAGGAGGGGAATGCCAAGCAGAAATTTGCATTCGAATTTTCTGTCACCTGGGATGGACAGGTAGCAGGAGACAATTAAATTCATTAGCAGTTGCTGTCACGCGCGATGTGCGTGCAACAGAAGACAGCTTTATTATCAATTACTGTTTTGTGTGAGAGGCCACACGCTATACGATATGTGTGTGTGGGTGTGCATGCGCGTGTGCGTGCGTGCATATGTGTATGTGAATGTATTGTGACGTGTGTGTGTGTGTGTGCGTGCGTGCGTGCATGCGTGCGTGCGTGTGTGTGGGTACTGTGGTCTTTTTATTTCTATATATGGAATCAATAAGTCAGTAATTCACTTATATACTCATGTTGTTCACTGAGAAATGTACACCTCCCACATATTTCATTTCGCGAGAATTTCTATCAATAACACCAGCCTGTCAAATATTGGCGAAATGCATTGGGGTGAATGCCGCCACGTAAAAACTTTTAGTGGGATTGACTGCACATCATGCATTGATCCGAAGCAAACGCCATGTTGGCAAATGTATTGGCCATAATTAGTTGCCTTGAAGATTCCCAATTTCTAGTTACTTGTTTTTCCATAATCTCTGCCGAGTTTACTTAGTAAGAAACGTAAGACAAACATCACTAAACCTTTCTCGTGTGTGGCATCACCATCGATCTCTATATGCTAACTAATATAATAAGTTAGTATATGGGGATCAGTGGGCCACTTTCTCAGAGGGCGTTAATTGATTAAGTGACGTTTATCTATAGGTGAGTGTTGGTGTGATGTTACAGGGGATAATATCAGGCTAATGTTTAGCTATATGTGAGTGTTGGTGTGATGTTACAGGGGATAATATCAAGCTAATGTTTAGCTATAGGTGAGTGTTGGTGTGATGTTACAGGGGATAATATCAAGCTAATGTTTAGCTATAGTTGAGTGTTGATGTGATGTTACAGGGGATAATATCAAGCTAATGTTTAGCTATAGGTGAGTGTTGATATGATGTTACATGGGATAATATCAAGCTAATGTTTAGCTATAGGTGTAACATCACATCAACACTCACCTATAGCTAAACATTAGCTTGATATTATCCCCTGTAACATCACATCAACACTCAGCTTGATATTATCCCCATGTCCGCAATGCCAGGCTTACATCATGAAGATGGACGACGGTTCATGCAATCACATGACCTGCGCGGTGTGCGGCTCCGAATTCTGCTGGCTGTGCATGAAGGAAATCTCTGACCTGCACTATCTCAGGTATGCGTCATTAACGTATACTATATATATGGGTCATTCCATCAGGTTGGGAAACAGTGCGCATGCAGCACTATATCACATTTGAAGTTGCCTTTAAGACGTTGAACGGCACGCGTCGCGCGATGCAACGGCTGAGCGCTCTAACGGTGATTGTACCGTCTTGCTTGTGCAGCCCGTCGGGATGCACCTTCTGGGGAAAGAAGCCATGGAGCCGGAAGAAGAAGATCCTATGGCAGCTGGGAACGCTCGTGGGGGCGCCGGTGGGCATCGCGCTCATCGCCGGAGTCTCGGTGCCGGCAATCATCATCGGCATGCCCGTCTGGGTCGGACGAAAGGTCAGTTGAAGGTCGGTCGAGGTCGAAGGTCGCACGCGGCGACGCGAGCGATCGGCTCCGTAATTCGTCGCGCGCGTTGTAACGTGCGCCGGGGCGTGCGCGCGCGTGCCCTAGCTAGAGTCGGCTGGCGAGATAAAGAGCAGGACGTAATATGACGTCGGCGTTAGTTGTGCGGCGACCGGGCGCTTTTGTCGGCTCGGCGTTCGTCCGACGAGAGCCCCCCCCGAGAATGATGACAACGTCACCGTTTGAGCATTGGCTAATGTCAGAGGATCGACTGAAGGTTGCGGGCAATCGTGCGCCAGCGCAAAATGATTGTGGTACGTGGCAACCCTAAATACAGGATACGCACGTGTCAGACATATCAAATATTCACATTCAGAGTGCTGGTATTACTGGGAGATCAATCTAGCTTTGACTATTCTAATCGTTATATTTTTATGAGACTGCGAAACGCCTACGTTACATTAACGACGTCAGTAAATTTGCTCGCCGCGGCGAAGTGTGTCTGTTATTTTCGCTGGTCGGGGACGCGTTCGCGAAATTGCCGATGCAGATGCCGGCCTAGTATAGGGCTAGCCTAGATCTACGGTGTTGGCAACCGTTAATGAAGCTTAATAAACCCTCAGTGATTGCAATGTATTTCGGCTGCATCCACAGTGTAAGCCACAGTTAATGCCAGGGCCACAGATGTTGCCCTCATTTGCACCCAGTGGCTAATTAGTCAATGTTGTAGGAAATGATCTTTGCGGGTGTGTGGCAAAATTGCACGTACGTGCAGATACTTGCCAAAGCACAGCCGTATCTGGTTGGTAATATAGTGTTGAGCAAATACATATTGCCGTTAGAATATTTAGAAAAAATATTTGCAGAAACTTCGATTTCAACTTAATTGTGAATATACACCAACTTCACACTATGGGCACGTAACTTGTCCTAATATTCAAATTTCGTCCTAAGTAAACTTTTATCATATGTTGAAATGAAATTAGTTTGCCTTGTTATTACGGTCAATCTAATATGTTATAGAAATTGTGATTATTAAATATTTGTAACTCACTCCTGATATTATACTAGATCTATACTAGCAGGAGTGAATAAATACGTGAAAAATCGTAATTTTTAAGTCACTCCTGATACTAGTACAGACGGGAGCTGCTATGGGTGCTATTCTGTCGTGCCGGTTAACTAAATGCAGTTCCTAACACTCGTTTCGCTAACCTTTACAGCTCAACAACAAGTATAGACAGGCGCCAAAACACAAGCGCAACCTGTACGTGGTGGGAGGAGTGACAGCGTCCGTGATCGTCTCGCCCGTTCTCGCCGGTCTAGCCGTCGGTGAGCAAAACGCTCTAATATATTGATTTAGCGCAGCAGAATGTTCAAGGCGGAATGCCATCGCAGCGTGAACCGCTTCTGAGGCAGAAATGAAATTCTATTGAAAGCGGGGCGGCTGCGCGGGCAGTGTCTGTGTCGCGCGCTCCACGCGTCGGCGTTGTCGAGTGTTATTCGAAACCGCTGTGTGTGTGCGATGCGCAGCGACATGCGATGAACATGCAAAACACGACTAAGTTCAGCGAATCGATCGCGTCTGCGTTGTGCCTCCGTACTAACTTACCTTCCTAAAGCTGTGGTTACACTACCGACTTTACGTTGTCAAATTGGCGAATTGGAATAATTTCGCAACTATACAACTGACAATCGGCAGCGTAAACGCAAAAGTCGCGCGAGCAACTGGTCAATAGCAACTAGTTGGGAGATTAAAACATGTTCTATTTTCGCCAACTCGGTGTTGCCGAATTGCGAAATTCGTCCAACTTTCCAATTTGACAATATAAAGTCGGTAGTGTAAACCCAGCTTAATGTGATATAAACTTGAAGAGAGAGGGGGTCATCACGCAGTGTAGTTAGTTAATAGATCTTGGGCGGCGAGTGATTAGTTTCGTCTCATGGTAGGCTCACTGGGTTCTTCGAAATTTCACATCATCTCAAAAGACAATGCTGGGCATCGTTGCTCTACTGTTGACCCTCTATTTTCCGGACCCTGCTTTCCCGGATTTCGGTAAGATTTGGGGCTATTTTTTACACTCGCCGGAAATTCGGACTTTTGCATTTGCCGGACAGGTAGTCCCCCCTATTAGTCCGGGAAATCGAGGGTCAACAGTATCTAGTTATACACCCTTGTTTTGCTGGACGGGGCATGTGAGGGGTCGAGTGAGCATGGCTATGATTGATAGAGGGGGGGGGGCAGAGAGAACAGCATCATCTCATTGGCACTGCCACCAGCGAACGACAAACCTTTCACTGGAGATACTTTCAAATTTACGTTTTTGCTCGTCTCAAGATAGGAAGACTTTTGTTTCAACTTCCTACTATAATATAATAATACATATAATGATATAATATATATATAATAATAACTTTCTACTGTCGACTGCAGAGAAGCCCTAACCGAAAGTCTCTCTAACGTCGCTGACGTGAGCTTAACATCACTGCCACCGCGGTGCGACGTATGCATTATTCGTCGTAATACTAACGATGTTTTGCGCGTCACGACAGGTATTGGCGTGCCGATCCTGCTCGCCTACGTCTACGGCGTCGTGCCGATCTCGCTGTGCCGGTCCGGAGGCTGCGGAGTGTCGACGTCATCGTCCGGCGGCGTGCGCATGAAGTTCGACGACGACAACGACACGCTCGCGGGCGGCGTTTCCACGGCGACAGGTATGGCATCCCGAGCGCGATGTAGGTGCGCGAGCTTGCAATCACGCACGCATGCAATCACGCACACATGCAATCACGCACACATGCAATCACGCACGCATGCACGCACACATGCAATCACGCACGCATGCATGCACGCTGGCACGCATGCACATACGCACACACACACACTGACACGCACGTAGTCACGCATTCTCGTACACACAGACATGTACGCACGCACATACGTACAGACACACACTGACACGCATTCTCGTACACACAGATACACACAGACACGTACGCACACACACACACACACACAGACGCACATGCATAGACTCACACAGACACGCATGCATAGACTCACACACACGCACGCACTGACACACACATGCAGACACACACAGACACGCATGTACAGACGCACACAGACATGCATGCACAGACGCACACAGACACGCATGCACGCACACAGATACACACAGTCACACACACGGATGCACATGCACAGTCACACACGGATGCACATGTGCAGTCACACACAGACACACACAGTCACACACACATGCACGCAGGCATCCTGCTATAACCATCTATATATTATTCCGCATCCTTGTGCATGCATAACACGAAACGCTGTATTGGTTATCGAATGGGGCTTTCCCAGGAGCAGGTGTCAGTACTATATTAGATATATATATATATAATATATATTATATCAGGAAGAATCACTAGGATTTTACCAGCAAGTAGGGCCACAGCTATTAATAACAACTTCCTGCATCATGCCGTACCTGGCATAGCATCCTGGCTACCTATTGTTATATATATATATATATCTAATATAGTACTGACACCTGCATGCTCCTGGGAAAGCCCCATTAGATACCCAATACAAGATAACAATAGGTAGCCATGACGCTATGCCAGCTACGGCATGATCCAGGAAGTTGTTATTGATAGCTGTGGCTCTACCTGCTGATAAAATCCTAGCGCTTCTTCCTGATCAGACTGCTGATATTACGGGGTTCCCTGTGGGAGGCTGCATGCGTGCCATCCATGTTTGCCTTGCCACAAATCCTCCTTTCAAACACGCAACTTGTCCTCAATAATCACACACAGTGTCATCCTGGCAATCTGTCACACGGATGTCACTGACACACGTCACGCGACAGGTGTCACACATTATTCGGCAAAACTGCACTTACCCATTGTAGAGGGTTCGCAGGATTTAATTAAGAGAAATGTCATTTTTGGCATGTATACAAGTAATTAACCTATTAGCAGTGGCTTTGAAAACTGGTCTCACTGTCTTTGTAAAGTCCATCAACTTCGTGCAGCTTGACAAGAGACAGCTAGAGGCTGAAAGTAAGAAAAAAGAGGCTAATTACCTGAATTTGTCATTAATTATAATGACTCGTGATACATTTACGTAGTATAGTATAGAGTGGGGACTGTACGTGAAAGCACACGCGTCGTGTTGCGGGTGTTAGCCGCGTACAAGATACGAGCAGAATGCGCACGTATATCGTATTGAATAATTGCGTGCGAGCCATCGCGGATGTTCGTGTTACGCTCTGCCGATTGTCAGCTGATGGCGGCGCGTCCTGCATTCACTAGCGCTATAGGCAGCACTTATTAGAGTCGTATTACAGCAGCTGCTGTTAGAGGTCAGGACTGTTCATCTACTTGTTTTGCGGGATGCGCAGCGTGTGGAAGTGGTGGCCGAGGATCAGGGAGGGAGGTCATGGGTGGATTCCAGCTTGCTAATTAAACTATATAATGATTCATTTATTTGAAAAACTAATTAATTTTGGATTAATCGACGTCTGCGTCTGCATGTCTAATTACAACGTCACTAACCTAACCTTCTGTAAAATCATGTGTCAATTCCAGCTTACTAAACTATATAATAATGAACATAATTTTATTAATCGAAAAAAAAAAAATTAATTCAATCGGAAAAACTTAATTAATTTTTTGCAGACGCGCGCAGCATGTCTAACCACAACCCGAGCATCGATGAGGTCATGGTTAACTTCCAACTTACTAACCTATATGGCGATTAATTTAATTGAAAAACGAATGAATTCAATCGGAAAAACTCTTACTAAGCTATATAACAACTATTATATTTAATTGTTTGCAGACGCGCGCAGCATGTCGAACCACAACGTCGCCAACCCGAGCATCGGCGAGGTGTCCATGATGACGGTGAGCAGCGGACAGATGGACCGCGTCGGCGTCGGCGCGGTGACGCTGCTGCGCGGCGTGCGGGGCGGCGAGGATGGGGAGGACGACCACGACAGCGCGAGCAACGTCGCCATCGCCGGCGAGAGCCTCACGGGAAGCCTGTGCGGCAGCACGTGCACGGCGCCCGGCCCCAGCGGCTACCACAACAGGTGCGTGTAGCATTACACACACGGTGATCAATGCTGGTGCCTAGACACCTAGGCACGCTTAGACACTCACACACACATACACTCTGACAGGTGTATCTGTACAGGTCTAGCATAAATAAATACGCACACACGCACGCACGCACGCACACACACACGAACACACACACGCACGCACACACACACGCGCACACACACACACACGCACCCACCCCATCCCCACGGTTGTGCACGTAGCTTGCGCGGGGGTGTAAATTCACGTGTTTGTGTGTACGGCGTTACAGGTTAGACGTACACTCAGAGTTCCAGCCGAACAAGAGATTCAGTTTGAGCAGTGAGTCGGCGACGGCCAGCCTGAGCGAACGCTGCTCCACCACCACCGTCTCGCTGGGTGACAACGCAAGTACGTGTGCACTAGCTGGATCCATAGCTAGCCAGTCGCTTAGGTAAGCCTGTGTACCTAGTACCTTTGACATGCCCACTGTTCCGCTAGAGACAACGCAAGTACGTGTGCACTAGCTGGATCCATAGCTAGCCAGTCGCTTAGGTAAGCCTGTGCACCTAGTACCTTCGACCTGCCCACTGTTTCGCTAGAGACAATGCAAGTACGTGCGCGCTAGCTGGATCCATAGCTAGCCAGTCGCTTGGGTAAGCCTGTGTACCTAGTACCTTTGACATGCCCACTGTTCCGCTAGAGACAATGCAAGTACGT